AGCTTTAATGCATCGTATTGGGCTTTAACGGTTCTATTGACTTTAGCGCATTGTATTGGGATTTAGTGGATGTTAGTTGTGGTTTAATGAATCGTATTGGGTTTAAAGGACCTATTGGGCTTTAATGGGTCGTATTGGGCTTTAATGGATCGTATGTAACACTATTGTTTTGTCTGAAACGTCAGATTTACAACCGTCATGCTGTCAAAATTGAATTGTAATCTTTTTTAAACTATATATAAGATGACTATTCAACGGGTCTCACCCAAAGATACGGTGATGATCCCTCCATCTATCCCTTAGTTGATAAAGAGTTGTAGGAGCAGGCGGTCGGGGGAAACAAGAAAGGCCGTCTATTTGGGTTTGGGTACAACCAGGATCCCAATTGGGTCTTGACTGGGAAGTACACAGAAGGTGGTTCATCATCTTTAGAGAGTCGGGTATGTGCCTTTTTTGCTTTGATGATGTTTATCGATTTAGTTTATAATTCGTATTAAATATTATAATGTTTTATCTATTTTATGGGAAATTGAAACCTTAAAGACCCAACTTAGCGACTTACAGGAACAAAGTCAACGCCAACGGATTACGGAGGAGGAGCGATGGCGGGCGGCGGAGGAGCGATGGTGGGCGGCTGTAATATCGGTTACGCTAATTCTTAATAAAAAGAAACTATTTATCCAAAAGATTTTCCATAAAACAATCTCCAAGCAAATACGGGATATATGTTAAAGATTTCCACCAAAAAATAAAATAATGAAGCCTGCAACCAACGATTTTCGGTACTATAAGTCGGATCCAAAAATACAAATATATATCTACCCAAAAGTATTCTATACATAGATACAACTCAAAACGATATATGAACAACGAGTACCAAAAAGATATCCGGGATCTGGAATCCTACAAGCAGATCTAAACTGCTTTATCTTTCCCTTGGACAACTACCGACCTTCCTGAAAAGAAAATTTATTCTAAAAAAAATAAGCGACAAGGCTTAGTGAGATTATACCAAAGCTTACAATTATATATTTTATAAAAAAAATACAAATAATAGACGAAACAGAACAGAAAGAATCGCTTATTTCTGAATTAGACTGTTAACTCAAAAATCTGCTAGAATTTCGCCCAGAGCACAGTACAACCAGAGGCTCTGGTCGTCCAGAGGGCCTCTAGTCCCGAAGGACTTGGAGTCCAGAGCTCTAGTCTATACAACTAGAGGCTCTGGTCGTCCAGAGGGCTTCTGGTCCCGAAGGACTTGGAGTCTAGAGCTTTGGTCTATACAACCAAAGGCTCTGGTCGTTCAGAGGGCCTCTGGTCCCGAAGGACTTCCAAACTTGGCCATTAAATCACAGCAGAAAACTTTGGATCTTTCATCCTTAACATACAGTGCTTAATAAGACTTTTAGGATAATTGAGATCAATTACAGCACAAAAAAAAAACATATCAAATACCAAAGGCATCATTACCAAAATAGAGTATACATGTGCACCACACCCCTCTTCGTCTATAGGGCCCGTGCAAAGTATTCACACCCGGCTCCCTACCAATCGGAATACGTGAATACGACAATCGGTATGCCACACCCAACCTCCCTCTCCTTGGGATACGTGGACATACACCATGCTACGACATATCACACGAAGTAATACCCGTAGATCATGGTTTATCAAAAGGCCAAATAAACAGTCTCGGTTCGGGACTCAACCACAACGTAAAAGGATTAAGAAATACCAAAACAAAGTTAGGGAAAATTCACCTTACAAAATAA